TTGTTTGTTTGTTGTTGCTAAGTATTGTTTGTTTGTTGACGGTTTGTAATTTTTCAGCTTCTCATGTTTGTTTGATCTACATGAAATTTGCTATGTTACAGTTTCAAAAGAGAAGAAGCAGAAGGTTTGATTAGATGCCATGGAGGTTGCATTACTCGATATGTCAGCAAGAAAAAGTCTTCCCCTTTCCATTTTGGTCGTGTTTCACTGTGTAGTCATTACCATGTTATTGATGATGTTTATTTGCAGAATTTTCTTCTTTTCAAATGATCAAAGAGTATAGAAAGCTTTATGGCTAGAGAATCCAAAATACTTCATGAAACTGTATGCTAGAAGAATTCGTCCTTTTGATTGTATGTTTTTTATCTAGTTAAAAGTATGACTTCTTCCCTCATATACTTATTTGCCTAGCTCTTGGTGAATTTGGGTGTTTCAAATATAAGGTCTAACTTTAAGTTTCTTACTATGTTTTTGAGTGACTAAAATATCTCAGAAAATTTGTGAGTTATGGATATTGCAGCTACTCAAGAGTATCTTATAGAAACATAGACCAAAGATTCGGTTCACTTTAGATGATTTGTAATTGATTTTCATTATGTCGGAGTTTCGTTAGTCTTTTCGATTTTATATGTTAAATAAAATTGATTGTTGACAATAATGCTAGAATTTCATTCTATATGAGTTGGTTTTTTGACTTTTTCAATGGTATATTAATATACAAAATTTTAAGCATGAAAAAATATCGTGGCTAGTAATTGACAATTAGCCATACTAAAATACCATGACTAAATGTTAGTTTCTAGACACGCTCGAAGCAACTAAATACCGAGACTAATAATTAGCATTTAATAATGGGAAACTATTTAGTCGCGGTGAATACTGTCTTAAAACGTGAACATCCTGTCTCTAAATGTATTTTTTATTGGTTTTGTGTGACAAGATTTGGTATTAGTCATGGGGATCCCATGATTAATAGATACAAATTATCACAGTAAATTATACCGTGACTAGTTATCACTAAAGGTACAAATTTCCCGTGTCCCTTTACAATTAGACACGACGGTAAATTTCCCATGACTAAAACTATTAAACACGGGAAACATGCTTTCAAACACGGGATTCCCGTGACCAAAGCATATTTTTCTTGTAGTGACGAGGGACTAATGGAGACGGATGCTTTGTGAACGATAGGACGAGTGAGTGTGAATTAGTTTAGGGTTTGATTTTTTTAATTTATTGAATTGGGATATAAAATAATTAAACCAAAATTAGTAGTGTTTAGGAGTAAATGAGGGGCAATTGGGTCATTTCATAGCTCCTTTAACGGCCACTTATCCTAAAATTAGATGAAAGGGTAAACTTGTTATGTTTTAATATTAAAAGAGTATGTTTGTACAAAATTTTAGTAGAGGGGTATGTTAATTTACCATAGTAGAGAGGTACAAAATATGCTATTATTACCCAATGTTATACTAACATCTTTAAATGTGATAACATTGAATACATTTTTTATTAATAAAATATGAAGAACTAGTTAGCTCTAGGTTCTTGCCTGGTCCTCTCCTAGCTCTACCGCCAAATAATGATTCACAGTCAACGACATCATCTAAAGCTAAGTAATATATAGTAAATCTAAGGACCCGTGAATTCGATATTTTATTACTTGTACCACCAGGGGTGGAGGCAGTGCCTTGATAGGGTGTTCCAGTGCACACCCTTGGGTTGGAACAATAACAGGATTAAGGTATATTAGTTTATTTGCAATAACAAACCTATTCTTATTACTAGTATTTCTAATAGAAAACTACAATTAATATCATACATTTAAATTATCTTTAATCATAGATTAAAACATAGTTTGCAAATAAACAAAATCAAATAAAAAACACGCCCCTTTACTATTTTTTACATCAAACATGTCCTTGTACTTTGGAAAAATGATCAAACATGCCCTTCAGTTAAAATTTCCATTAAAAAAACCGTCAACCATGGTTGAACCGAGGTGTAGACGACCCGACATCGGCAAATGAGAGGGAAAATGTTAGTTTTGTCCACCATTTTATTTTTCTAGGTTTCGTTGAAGTGAAATTATTAGAGATATTTGGCTCTACAAAAGAACCCAAAAATTCTAAAGTGAAATTACCAGGAATATTTTAGACATTTGTGTCGCTCAAACCAACGTACGACCGTGGTTGACTGTTTTTGGATGAAAATGTTAACAAAAGGGCATGTTTGATCATTTTTCTAAAGTACAGGGGGCATGTTTGATGTAAAAAATAATAAAAGGGCATGTTTGATAAAACGACATAGTAGAGGGGCATATTATACCTATAACCCTTAGATAATTGTTAGCTCCAATGTGTGATGACACTCATTCTCTTATAATACCACTATGCCAATTCATTGGGGTTTGTATCTAATTATCCTCAAACCTGGTTGCAAAGTCGCTTGCCTCTACCATCTCATTCCAACCGTCGGTCCTCGACTTGAATCTAATTATCCTCACTTGACAAACTTTTACGACAGAAATTTGAATGATTACTAGTACTTGGTAGGATGTATTAACAATAAGTCTTTGGTAGTTTATATGAATAACACATATTATAAAAGTTTTATTCGAGTATAAAAGACGTGAGTCATTGCAAATAATTAATAATTTTTCATACAAGATATATTTACTTTTTAAAAAATTACACCCCTTACATAAAATTCTGGTTACGCCACTGTGTACCACTATACTGCGATCCTAACATTGCTTCACTTGGGATTGTCAGGAGTAAAGTTTTAGGAGTAAAGTTTTAGGGAGTCAACAAACGTGCCCTTCCCTTTGTAAATACACATTAGTTGTGGCCAACCCCTTAATATTAAAAAACTAAGTTATCAAAACAAAATGTTACTATTGATTGAAATTAGTTTTAGTATCAAACTGATAAATTGGATCTCAGCAATTTAGCATCTTAAGATATAAACAACATACCAAATTACCAATAGTACTTTAAAATATATTCAAACAATTATTAAACACTTATCCCTCCAACTAATGACAACGTAACAAAGCCTAACAAACCCTAATTTGTCTGGAAAACGAGATGAAGGGAAGGGAAGGCAAAGCAAGCGCAAAAAATTCCCCAAAAAAAAAACACACACACACACATCAGGAATTACGTACTAAACTCATGCGATGATTGTTTGGATGAGCTTGGCTTCTTCACAAGAGCTGAAATTTTGGTTGTTACATTTGTTTTTGGGCATCGACTAATCATTGCGCTTTTGGCCAGAAGTGGTTCTTTCTAGCAGCAGTAGAAGGTGACAAAAGTGTGGTTGCATAGCATAACTATACCGCGATGCCACCTCATTTTATCATAGTAACTCATTGTGTCATAGTTATAGGTGGTTATGTATTGTGATGTCATCATACTAGATTAGACCATCCCTTACCATTACTGTGTTTTGGTAGTAGGAAATGATTATTTACTGTGATATGATCATACTAGACTATATCCTTTATTACCTCATACCATCATGGTAACTCATATCTCATGTTGGTAGAATATGGTAATATATTGTGTGATGATCAAAACACAACTATACCACCTATTGTAAAATAATGATAAGCATATTCGAAAATGCAAAACATATAACACGTACAAAGCAACAGCGAAGAATCTTATAAATCTCGAATCCGAGCAGTATTCACACGCAAAAATCGTTTGATTCAACTCAATATATAAGCAAACAAGTTGTTAGCTCAAGACGAACAAAATCTGAAGATTAATCATGCAAGCTCAAAAAACGTCAACTACAAACAGGAAGAAGAAGAATCTGAGAGTCCATAAGAAATTTATTGTCCTCCTCATTCTAGTCAGAGAAAATTCATAAAAAAAAAATCGATCTATATGCCACCTCCATCTCGAATATCGGGAGCAGATTCAGTGAGGTAAGCTTGTGGTGCTATAACCTCATACATAACCTAATAAGAATCCGCCACATCAGCGTCTTGTTCTCTCTCATCGAAAAATCTTTAATTTTCATTTTCTTAATCTTTAACGGATGATTTCTTACTCGTTTTAACTCGGATTTTTTTGTCACAGTTAGATCAGATTAATTGTGTTATTAAAAATAATATCCACTTTGATATTTTTTGGAAAAAAAAAATTGTCAATTATTACTAGTCTATACCATATGGTATTGAAGGGGATTGCTAATCATCGCCCTTATCGCCCTAGGCTAAAAATCTAAATTCCTCTTTTACCCTTCCTCTTTTATATTGTTAAAAATATATTGGGGTTTTAACAAACTTATTACATTCAACAACAAAAAAAGCTTACTTCGCCATTTGTGAGAGAGAGAGTAGCTGAAGCAGGGATGTCAGGAACTTCTTCCGCCACCATGCCTCTATTAATTAATCCTGATAATTTGGGTCCTTCTCATACTTTAAAAGAAATAGTAATCCGCCCGGGCTCCGCGCCGGGTTACGTTTGTCTTTGTAATTTTATGGATGACTTAAAAGTAGATCAAGCAAATGCTTGGCTGAGTAATTTAATTGGTGAATTATTGGAGATAGATTGGCTTAGCAAATGTAACATATTGGGTTCACTAAAACGGAATGGTACAACGATCTTCAATAAGTTTTGATTTTTGTATGGTTATGTAATATAGAGTTGTGAGTTAATGCACATACTGTTATTTTTGTTATTGTTTTTGTCAAGTACTAACTACCACCGGCACCACGTTTTTTTTTTTTTTTGCACAAACATGAATAAAGGGATCACATTTTTGGAGATAGATTGCTCTCATAGCATGCACTTCTTGTCGGGACTTGTTCAAAACTGAGGATTTTTTCCCTAATCACAGAAATTTAATAAAGTTAATAAAGCAGTCTACCATACAATTCTGCGTTCAACAGTATCACTACCACTACCAACATATATTCATAATAATCACAAATTACATTGCAAAACAAAAAACGCTGATAAAATCGGTCGGAATTGCAGGTATTATGGCCAGACTTAATTTAATTAAGTGTGCTACACTGGTACTGAATCACGAACAAAAGAAAAAGCTACATAGCCAATAGCTTCGTTACATAGAGGGAGACATGAACAAACTACAGATTATTAGGTGACGGGTGTTCAAAATGAAACTATAAAATAAGATGGCGCATTTGGATAGGAAGGAGAGGCCTGAGTGTAAGAGTCAACACATATCCTTTACGGATTTCCAGGTTGCACCAAAAAAACCAACAAAACATTCAAATTCTCACTTCAAACTCATGAGTCGCCAAATCTGATTTCCCTCCGTAGTGAATCACGTTCCCACCACCGCGGGTCCTATCCAACGTGGATCTATAACCTAAGCACAGATCTTCGGATTGCTACTCCTCGTTGGAATTCAATGGCCACCTCCCAGACTTTCAGTGCCGAAATCTCCTTCAAAAAATTGATCAAACAACGCATTTTGAGAAAGAAAGGGCAAACCAACTCATATAAGAAAAGAGGGGGGAAATTGCATAAAAGAAATACACAACAGACCTTGCGGGACAGGATCTCCCCTGGTCGCTTCAAGTTCACCCATTAGAGAAAAAGACACAAAATCAAGTCCAACCAGAAAAGACCTATGAATCTGCGTGTGCCATAAGAAGTTCTCCCCTCATCGATGAAGATGGTACGTTCAAAAGAACATCTGAAAGTAAGATGGCGAAGTAAACATGAAAACCTCGATCAAACCCATCGAAGAGAAAAGCAGTGGGGTATTATTTATAATCTAAACAACCCTCTCCTCCTCTTCTAAACTGTTAACATGTGACCAACCATAAGTAAAATTCAACTTAAAACAAATTCAAACCTTGTTTCCTCCGTGCGATCACTGAACAAAATCATCAATGCATTACTTCTTGCTTTTCTTCCGCTCCTTAACTTGCTTCTCCATAGAGCAGCTAGTTGATACGTTTTCGGAGTGCGTTTCCAGCAAGAGATTATTTGTTGTGCCGGCTGGGTTTTGCATGAAGCTTTGGCATTGACGATCATGAACAAAATTCAACCATTCACAGTCTGTTCATCAGTAGGTCGAAAGCTTTGGTCTTGGATCATAATTGAAGATGATGACCCGATATTACTGGATGTCTTTGCTGATGACGAATCATCAGATGACATGAATGCCGCTTCTTCCACTACTTCATCCTGTCTGTGTGTTGAAAACAGGTTGAAGGGTGTCTGGGCAGCTGTGGTGGCCGCCGGTGGAATGGTGATTTCAGGAACGCCCAAGGATTTCTTCACCTCAGGAACCTTGAGCGCTGAAAGGCACATGCGAGAAGATCAGAGATAACAACCTTGTGTTCAATTTTCAAGGCAATATATATGGTTCGTCTTCCTTAGCATATTCTACTTCCCCTTTCGCAGATAAAGAGAAACCAAAGAAATGACTACTGATTGATAGCAGAGGCCATCCAGATAGCAGAAAGGTAGTAACTTACCTAAACCATGAGTAATTTTACAATGCTATATAGTATTGGTGCTATAGGATTTTGCCTTTAAGGTACAACTTAAAATTGTACATTTACGTTATGGTACAACTTTAGATTGTACCTATACTTTTTGTACAAATTCTTTTATGGTACAACTTGAACTTGTACTTTTACGTGATGGTACAACTTCAAGTTGTAAAGTTGTACCATAACATAATGATACAAATTGCTTTATGGTACAACTTAAACTTATACATTTAATGTTATGGTACAACTTTAAGTTGTACATTAAAGCACCAATACTATATAGCATAGTAGAAGTGCTCCTAAACCATATAACAATGAGAAGAAGTTGGATGTTAACCAAAAGCCAAATAAAGCCTGCAGATACAAAAAAAAAAAATCTACCAGACTTCCGTCCTAATTTGAATAGCCTTGATAAGAGAAAGCGTAGAGAGAAGAATTAAGAGAAGGAAAGATTAAGGGAGGGTGGTTCGAAAGCAATGAAAGCAAGAGAGAGACCATCTTCGGATCTTCTCTACGCCGGACATGGACTCTCATAACCGGTGGGGCAGAGTCGATTCCCAGGTCGCTCACAACTACATCGGCTCCTTGATGAGAGAGAGAGAGAGAGAGAGAGAGAGAGAGAGAGAGAGAGAGAGAGAGAGAGAGAGAGAGAGAGAAAGGAGAGATGAGATGAGACTGTATTGTTGTTGAGAGCAGGGATGTTAACTCCAATCGCCAGCATCTAGTGAATCCCACCTCCAAGGAATCGATTGCAGAGGGGAGAACATGCAAACAACGACCACAAAAGAGAAGAAAAGGTTAGTTCAAAAACTGAAGATAGAGAGCGAAACCAGAGAATAATTAGGTTCTTTGCTCCGTACTGGAATTAGGCTGCGTGTCGTCTCCGTGCAGCTACTTCCGCATAACCCACTCCCTCACCAGCTAGGCCGTTCTCTGGAAAACCCTCATCTTCCTCTCCCCACAAAAGAACCACCAGCCCAACCACCATTATCTAACCAATCCTGACTGCACATCCACCCATTATCAGACCATGCCTTACCATCGGTAAGCAAATGTATCCCCTTGGAGAAGAACAGAGAAAGAAAGCGCCCGAATTGCAAACCCTAACCGAGCTGCTCCTGAGAATCGGGATAATAAAGCAGACACCGAAAGAAAGAGAAAGAGGGTTGCACCCGAACTTCAGGAACCCTAGTAAACAGCAATCATGTTAAATCCATCAAAACGAAAGCGAAGGGAGAGCCCATACGGCATTAACGTGCGAATAGAATAGACTAATTGAAGATGCAGCAGATTACAAGCGGCTCTGCCGCCTTCACCCTCCTCTGGCAGGTTGAGAGAGAAGGATGCAGAGAAAAGATGAATAACCAGAAATCAATTGCACTGCCAGCTGGTGTGGGTCTTCTCCAGACCTCTAAAACCCGCTGATCGCTTCAAGTCGGCCATCTCCTTATCAACTCCAGGCACCTCAAATCCGTCTCTTGATCGCCATCATCGTCGTATCCAAGACTGCTTCGACTGTTTTTCTGCAACACACAAACAGAGAGAAATGAGAGACCGATGAGCAAAGAAGGGATGTGAGAGAAGGAAAAGGATTTGCAGTGAATAAGAAAGAGGGTTCTTATTTGCCACTGACCCTCTCCAAGGCCACTCAACCTCCATGTGAAGGATTGCAATATCCGAGAAACTCTTGGGAACCGAAGAGCTTCACTCTTTCCAAACCTTCGCCATCATCATCAATAAGACCAGATGGGAAAAGTACACTCGATTTGAGGCCAGCGCGAAACTCGAAGTGAAGATAAGCGTGTAGTTGAGGGCAACGCGGCACACACAGCAACAACGGCGGGACCCAGACGCAGGCAGCCAACCAATCAGAAAACGCAGGCGGGCCCAATCGCAGAGCTTGGACCAATGGGGGAACGGTGAACAGTAAAATTGAGTCTAAATGAATAGTAATTTCGTGTCTAGGCGTACAGTAGATTGTGTCTTTGAAAATAACTTTTTTCAATGAGACCGAAAAGTAGTTAAAGGGTTATATTATAATATACAGAAGTTGTGTGAGATTTGAAATGGCCGGAAGGCGGAAATACTGATGTGTGATGATGGTGTTGTTGTCGCTACCACTGCTAGATTCTGTCTGACTGCCGCTGTCTATGTGGCTCGCAGCACCTTCGAGGACAAAAGATAAATGAGCCTTTGGGCTGAAGTAATCTCTTGGAGGACTCGCGCCTTAGTCTACCAGGGCCATTTGGAGAGCTCTCCGTCGGCGGTGGAGGACTTCTGCACTGCAAATATTTGGCGGCGGAAGTGGTTTGGAGGGCAACGCCGGTTGGAAGAAGATAAATGATTAGGAATTTTAGGGCTTTTTTGTTTATTTTTATTTGGTTAGTTGGGGTTAATTTAGTACTTTCGTTTCTTAAATTAGGGCGATAGAAGTAAAATAAGGGCGGCAATTAGCCATTCAGTTAAATAACAGCATACCACATGGTATGGAAAATACCACCCCATACCAGGATGGTATAGTATGGTATGGAGTTGGTAACGAGAGGTATGAAATTTTTTCACACAGAAAAATTTGAAATCCAATAGATCATGATTAAATCGTTCCTTCTGTGCAAAAATTTTCTAAAACGACTAAAATCCGAAGGAGATACCATATGGTATGGAGTTGGTAACGAGAGGTATGAAAAAAATTTTCTCAAAAAATATTGAAAATGGATATCATTTTGTAGAGCACAACAAACTCGTTCCATCTGTGAAATAAAAAAATTAAAATCCGAGTAGAATGAAGAAGATATGATTCAATCAAGAAAACTAGGAAAAATAAATTCATTTAATTCTCCACTCTTCAATCTGTAGCCACTTAAAAGAAGTGTCCAGATTTAATTACTCATAGTTATTAACACTAAGATTATTCACCCTATCTTGAGGGTCGAATATTATCGTTTTTTTTCTACCAAAAAAAAAAAAAGAATATTATCGTTTTAGCTGAAACAACAAATTTCGTAAACCGGGCAAAAAGTCTGGCCCTTTCAGCCCCATCTAGCTGCTTGGTCCTTTCATCCTCGGATCGTTGGTATTATGCACACCCTACTATGAATCGGAGATGAGGTGACATTAAGTTCCTGGTAGCCCAGACACTATTGATTAAATTAAGCATGTGCGGTGCAGCCATAAAAATCTGCAGTAGTGTGGACATATACACTATAAAAAAAAGGTATGGGGACAATAAAAATCGTCCCCGGAAATAGACAAAATCGTCCCCATAGTTTTTGAGGACGACTAAGTCGTTCTCAGAATTTCGTCCCTTATACTCTTGTCCTCTATTCTTTTGGGGACGACTAATATATAGGTCGTCCCCGATACTAGGGACAACAGTCGTCCCCAAAATTTATGACCTGTCATCGCGTCTGTACTTCATGAAAGATAAAATGCCGTTCCTATAGCCATGACTTTAGTCACAATAAGTCGTCCCCATATGTTATTTTTAGGGATAAAATGCCGTCTCCATTTTTGTCAAATTGGAGTCAATTGATCGTCTCCAAAGTTCTATTTCAGAACAACAAGTGGTCCTTTATAGAGATGCCAAGTTGTCACCTATATTATATTTAGGGACGAGAGGTTGTTCCTAAACTTGTACTTTGGGGACGACAAATGGTCTCCTATGTAATCTTTATTTTAGGGATATGCACAATTATTCGATTATTAAGCTCTGAAAATATTTCTTGTGACAAGAATTTGGAAATATTAAAATATTAAACCAAATAAAAACTCAATTGAGCAAATTCGAGACCAAATTGATATATTCCACATACCACAATTGATTTACTATATGAATAAACATACAATAGAGTTGTTGTTCCTTATGAGATGAAAAAATGTAATACTTTGTACAATTTATTTACAATATAGAATGGGTAGATACAAAACCATCACCGCAAGCATATTGCCGCTGCATTGCATCGTTATTCATCACCGCCCAGCCACCAACACGTTCTCAATCATAGCCTTCTCGATTAAGCACGCCACTATGCCTGGTCATCACAGATATCGCTCCAACCGAAGCAGCGTCCACAATGCTGCCACTGACTTCATCATCTGTTGTCCAATTTAGGAGAAAAATAAAGAGACTATGTTAAAAGAAAATATATATCTAAAAGTAATAGTGAATTGAAGACCTCAAACTAGCAAAATAAAAAAAAACCAATACTAATCATACCACCGTTTGGGCTGCTGAGGAGGAGAAGGAAGCGCCCGTGGGAAAACAAACAGGGAAGTGTCGCCGCCAAGGAGAAAGAGAATAAGGCAGAGAGACAAACGAAGAAGGGTAAAGAAGTTTCGGCGAGAGAAAGTGAAGACTGGAATGTTAATCTAGGGTTTTTATAATCACTTAAAGTTGAATGGACGTTTGAGATTAAGATCCACTTAAATAAACCGCCGAGATTTAATGGGGAGTCTTTGGATTTGCGTATGTTACTTTTTCTTTTTTGTGAGTTTTTTTATAGCTTTTTTTTTTGTGAGAGTTTGTTAGTTCATTTTGTTAATAGTTCAATTTTTAATACACTACCATATTTTATTTTGTTTTATTTGACTCTCTAAATATATTCTTTATGTTAGCGGAAAAAGTTGCAATGTAAATGAAATTTAAGCTTATATGAAAGTTAATCACCACAATTGAAAAAATTGAGATCAGGGATTTTGTTGGGGTGAAACGTATTGAATTTCAAGTAATAGTATTTGGATGATTTAATCAATTGAATTTAAACACACGATCAATAGAAAAGGAGAGGATTCTAGGTTAGACGCAACAAAATTGGTAGCTAGTTATCTTCACAATAAAAAGTTCAATCACTTGACGATACTCCGGTCGATGTTTATAATTTTCTATATAGAAACACATCTACTACTTTTTATGTAGTCTCTTCAATGGCAACCAATCAATCAAGGAAGCAAAAATAACAATCGTTATAAGCCACTTCCTATGAGCCATGTAGGACAACTCATTCGAACATCTAAAGTATTCGGCGCTAATGTCTGCATGCTATGAAGGACAAGCATTATAATCCTACAAGTGATGAATCCGAAAATCCTCTTCTTCGCCTCTCATGCCATACAAGAGTGATGCACCAATCCATCCATTTTATCAAGAGTATTCTTCAAGCGTACGATCCTCATCCAAGTTGATCTTGGCTAGAATTGAGCCTTTCCCCTTGCTAGTATCAAGATTTTGTTTGAAACGAAGTAGCTTAATCTTATTTTTAGCACTATAAACTCACCTATTTATAATGTAGCTATAGCAAGCTAAATATGACAAGGAAAATAATAAACATAAAAACAAAAATCCTAATTGAAAGATAAAAAGGAAAAATTAATTCATCCTTCAAATATAAAAACGAAAAGGAATCACTTGAATTCCGAGATGGAAAAGGAAATATCCCCTAATAACCAATCTTTTGGGGGACAAAAACAGGCGGCATTCTGCCAAAGGTAACATAGCCTAGTGGTAAAACCACTGGACCAATTGAGCTCTGGATGTGAGAGGTCCTGAGTTCGATTCCCAGTGGCGCCACTTGAGCGTTCCCGGCGGCACCCTTGGTATCGGAGCCGAAGCCTCCCCGATGTTGGTAGCAGAAAGCCACGGTTAGTATGTAGGTACCCCCAGTGGTTTAGTAGGCCCCGCTGTCGCTCAAGCGACACGTGGAACTGAGGTTCCCTGGGTTATCAAATAAAAAAAAAAACAGGCGGCATTCTCATTATTAAACTTTGGGATATTGAATTTCATCACGCCTTTGAATTTGGGGACGATAAAATATGGCCCGGGAATATGATTTTCAATCTCTTGCATCTCTGGCGACAATTTTATGAGATTGTCCCTTATACCACTAACTGGTTTTTTACCCGCCCGTTGGGCAGTGTATTTTGTTTGGTTGTTTTATAATTCGTTATAATATTCTAATTGTTATTATTATTTATGTTTGCTTAGGTAATATACATGGAATTGTAAATCCCACTTACCTTATTTCAAGTATTATTTCATAGTTTTATACCTTTTGTTTATTTATGAACATTTTAATTTTATTAACTAAGCTCTTTGTAGACGGTTCTTTATTGATTTAGAATTTTTTTTTATCGAACTCGCCCTTTAAGATTATAAACATAAGAGATTATTCATTCTTTAGCACAAAATTGTGATAAAGAAGTTAAAAAACTTACGGCCACAAAAGAAGAAGTTAGAATAAGAAAATATGCTTCAATTAATAAAAAAAATAAGCGAAGAGCTTTTTATTTTCTCTCCCTTCTCATATGTCGGTATATGATAATAGAGAATATTCCGATCTAAATCCCATGAATATCGTGTATTATCACTTACACATACAATTTTGGAATAATGAGGAAACTCATTAGCATCCACGTCCATCAATCTTCCACGTACTTGTTTAATTACCTTGAAATGTTCTAGCAAAACCAACCATAAACAAAACTATCAGCTGTCACTAACTTATTAAAGCAATATTTTCAGCAAATTAAACTGCATATAATTAAACACAATTTATATTTTGTAGAGAGCTACATATCTCTTGCAGAAAAGAATTGTGCTTTATTACCTAATAACAACATAGACAAATAATGAAAGGATTTGTCTTCAATACAACTCAACTCATTTTATCATTCAGATTCCTCATTTGTGAACTGAATATATGCATCAATCCAAATAGTAGTTTGTAAGAAAACAATCATGTCAAAATCAATCTTTAGTTAGGGATTCAATGCACAAAAATTCACCTTAATGGAACAAACAAATGTCAGCGCAAACATGTAGAAATTAAAAAAACATCGAAATAGACAAGCGAGAAACCACCATTATCATTTTCTTTCTTCTTTGCGACTTTATAAAATCCCAATTATGTTCCCTTCTACTTATAACCCCTATGCTACCTACTAATTACTAACCAGGTCATCATTGTATAGCTAGCTAGTAGTAGCATGTCAATCATGAACATAAAATATCATAAACAATCATCACAACTCTACTCAGTAAAAAACAAAGAAGAAATATATTCACTCATCGAGAGTGGGAAAATTTACCATCCAACAGTCGTAATTTGGAAGAAATTAAGAAAAGAATGGGAAAAAGAGTATAACTCGGCTAAACCGCAAACAATAACATATCTCTGAGAAAGTGAGACCAGTTGCCAGCTTCAGATCAAGGAGGAAGGGGGAGCAGTCGACAACCCTCGGCTTGGTTCACCTCATCTTCACAATGATCAGATTAACTTTTTTCATCAACGGGAAAAAATATGTTACAACTGCTCAAAATTTTGTCATCTTATCGTTGTCTCGTGTAATTTCTGCCTCCTATTCTCATACAAAGAAAAAAAATCGTATGCATTACCATTTCCTTCTCTATAAATTATGAGAATACAAATATAAGAAATCTAAAAAAATTTAGCAACTAATAAGAGGGCTTTGTTTATTTTTATGGTGGTTGACATACTTTCTTGATTTCTTATTTTCAATGTTGGATTTTATTTCTGGGGAGACAATCAAAATGGGGAAAGAGATGGAAACAAATTAAAAGTTTGCATTAATAATTAATATATTTTCATTTAATCGAAATGAATAAGAAGTTTTTTAAAAAATAACAATTATTGCTCTGTCAAGTTTATATTCAGACATTTTGCTATATAATTTATAATTGTTTTATTTGATAGGTATATACATAAGAAAGAAGTGAGTGTTTGATAGCAAAAAACATACAGTCATATTATTCATTTCTCAAAGTCGATTGATTGTCAAACGTTATTTTCTCTTTGACCATCGTTTATATTTTGTATTGGAAAATATTAATATTTATGTGTGTGCTTGTTTTTTTTCTTCATCAAAATGTAACTTATTATTAAGTTTTATTAAAAATGAGTAGAAAATTTACTTAATCAGATTTAATCAGCTTGGGTTAAACAAATACAATATATGTCACTCTCTGTTTCCATCTTTATAGTTTGTTTAATCGATTTTTTATTACTTAGGTGTGTGTTTTTTGTTTAAATGTTTCCTAAAAAAGTAACTTATTTTAATTTTAGTAAAAATGAGTAGAATTATTAAAAGAAGAGAGAGACAACTTCATAAATAGATCAAAAAATAGTTTTTTGTTTGAAAAGAAATTGTCCACCTTGGCAACTTGTGCATTCACCAAGTGCTTATGTGACAAAAAGTTATTTTTGAATAGCCATAATATTTAGTATAAATAAATACATGAATCTCCGAAGACAAAGTAACTTGTTTGTCCTCTATTGTTGCCCCCAAATTAAAGCCTCCCAATTTTGTAGTATACAACAGCGCCATGCCACTAAACCACACTATACAAAATTCGCAACGTGAAAAATTCGCTCATTTAGAGACCAAGATGAGAAAATTCATGTAAGCTCAAAACACCTCAACTATTCCGAGAGACCAATCCATGAGAACTTTGTTGTCCTAAATGAGAAAAATCATGTAAGCTAAAAAAATCCATCTCCGTTCCATCTCCACCTCTAATATCATCATTTTAGCCGAAGCAACAAATTTCGTAAACAGGACAAAAATATCCCTCTCCTATTTCAGCCCCATCCAGCTGCCGCATGGTCCTTTCAACCTCGGATCGTTGGTATTATGCACACCCTACTCTGAATCGGACCAGACATTAAGTTCCTGGTAGCCCAGACACTATTGATTAAAGTAAGCATGTGCAGTGCAGTGCAGCCATAAAAATCTGCAGTAGTGTGGACATATACAACAGCGCCATGCCACTAAACCACACGATACAAAATTCGCAACGTGGAAAATTCAGTCATTTAGAGACCACCACCATGAACTCAAAATCTGGTCCCCAATAAACAGATAATATGCATCCCCTTCCCCTATATTAACAGCCACCCGCTCTTTGAAAATCATCAGCAAAAACTGCAAGACAAAACACGTACAGAGGTGGAAAAAACCATGGCAATGGCGTCCCTGTTGCTCCTACTGCTCGTATTTGCCGCAGCACCATTCTCCGTCGCGCCTCTCGCCGTCTTCCAGCCCGGAAGCTTCGAGACCACCACCCTGGATGTCGGCAGAAGGGACCCCTCGTCGCCTCCAAGGCCGCTCCTAGTCACCGCTCCGACCATCCCCGGCAGCTACCCGATCCTGCTCTTCGCCCACGGCACTTACCTCCAACCCAATTTGTACACCATGCTCTTCCGCCACATTTCTTCCCATGGCTTCATCGTCGTCGCGCCGCAGGTACGTAAGAATTACATTTTTCTATCAGCGTCGTTGTAAAAGTTAGGTAATTTTCGTATTATTAATGAAATGTTGACCAATTGGAGAT